GTTTTGTAATTCTAATGGGTAGAAAATTGAAGTTCCGACGTATTGTAACTAGATGTAAGCCATTTTTTTCGTAGAATGAATAAATAAGTTAAATTAACACTAGTTTAAATAGTTTAAAGCTAATAATATAGAATATTTACGGGATAACTACAATTAAGATAGATTTGATCATGTTAATGTTATATAATTTAAATTATAGTAATTGTGAGTGAGATCAACTTGTGTGTGTGTGTGTGTGTTAATAAGTATGGAAAATGTGATGTTTATAATATGGAAGAGTAAGATTAAAATGATTTGTGTTTGTTAGCGGTGTGAAATATGAAAAGGATTAAATGTGTGGATATTTGGATAAATGGCCTAAGTTGAATGAATTGTTTGGTCTTCTTTTTTATTAAGATAGTGGTTGGAGATAGTCAGCAGGAAAGCCTAGACTTAGGTTTTGTGCTACTTGGCACTCGTCAGTAGAGTATCTCTATAATCTTAAGGGAACTGATGTTTCCTGACGGATTCTATCCCGTGTCACATAGCTTCACAATCAGAGATGTTATCACTTCTTTTCTATTAATTGTAGTAGAGATTAGCAATATGTGAAAGCTTCAAGAAATTTCTTTTATTGATAATTAGTAATGTCATTTTGAACTTTAGTAATGTAGATAAGGGAAACGAAAATTATTATAATCTTTATATCAGTCTTCAAATGTTCTCATTTCCAAGTTTTTGTAATCTTTAAGCAATTTAGGAACTAAACCTAATTTTAATGCTGAAAAATTATTTCATTACAACTCAAATCTTCAGTGGTTTTCTTTGACTCCTTTCTTATAATTATTTAAAGTGATGTTAAACTACATAGTCGGGTTAAACTTTAGCTTGTCATGTTCATGTATTTATTGAAAGAACCTACTTTGTTGTCGTGAACATTCTTGTATAACATTTTTAATTGTCTATATCAAGTCAGTTTTATTTTAAATAGATAGAGCTACATTCAACTTGAAAAACAGTCTTCGTGGGCTGGAATATAATCATTTCTTTGATTACAATAATTAACCATTAGTCTCTAGGTTTTATCTACTCTTAGGATCAAATTATGAGTCGGTTATTTTTTGAAGAACAACTTCATCCATGAAGAGTAAAACAGTCGTTTAAGCTTAATCTAGTCAAACAGCTAAAATGTTTTATGTTGAATATTTAAACTTTTTAATAGTTGAATTCATGAGCCGAATTATGTTAGACCACCATTGAAAACCTTGAAGCATTGAGTGGTCGTTCCCTCGAATCCCACATGCGTGATCGTTGATGCTTACTTCTCGAGAGTGAGTAACACACATTATTTGCTTGTGAATACCTTTAAGATAAAACAATAATAAAACGTGAAATGGATTTATTTTATTAAAGTTCACATCGTAATCTAATATTTGATAAAAATACTAACCAAAAATGTAGATTTTTTGAACACATACACTACTTATTAGTAACTAAATATCTGAAGCTAAAATGTTTCATCTACACCGTAAAGTAATATGAAAATTTCCATATAGATAATTGTTTCCAAAGATTTACATTGCGTTCTATCAATACAATACCAAAAAACGGCTATACAAGTCAAGTAAATTACAATTCAAGTACATTCAACATTGTAACAAACATACTTCAATTACTTACTTACTTACTTACGCCTGTTACTCCTAATGGAGCATAGGCCGCCGACCAGCATTCTCCAACCCACTCTGTCGTGGGCCTTCCTATCTCCTTCCATCCAATTCTTGTTCATTTTTCTCATGTCTATTTCCATTTACCGGCGTAATGTGTTCTTTGATCTTCCTCTCCTCATCCAACTTTGGCCTTGAGGATTCCATGTGAGGGCTTGTTTTGTGACGCAGTTGGGTGCTTTCCTTAATGTATGTCGTATCCACTTCCAGCTCTTCTTCCTGATTTCTTCCTCCGATGGGATCTGGTGGAATATGTTAAATAAAGACCTTATATTTTAAAAGAACAAAGTCAACTGAGTCTTGAACAAATCATATTTGAAATTGAATTCATGCAATAAGCTGTCCTAGACAATCTTCTTTGGGTTTTGTACGTAAATTACCTTTTTTTTTAAAGTACATTAAAACCTATTGATTTAATAGGATTGTCATTAGCTTTTCTTAAGCCCATAAGAGTAAGTTAATTTTAACGTTTGTCTTTAAATTGAAAACATTTATCTCCAACAAATGCTCCATTTGTAAATTGTTAGTTGTCATCAGATTATCCGTTATTGATGATTGCACTGTAGTAATTTTCAATGTTCTAACAAAAAAATTATTGTTAAGCGTGACTTGAGATTTGAGTACTTGTAGTAAACACAACACGGGTGGGGACAATCGCATGTATTTAACACAAAATTACATGACTTGTTAATAAAATCTAACAATCATAAAGTAAATGCTTAATTTGCAAAATGTCCGCCAATTGTCTCAAAATGACTTAGACTTCATTGTTCTTGCATTTTCACACAAATTGCATTTGGTTTCCATTCTTTACTGTTCGATCCTCTTGTTTCTCTGCTATCCGACCTTCTGTTCACGACTAATATCATCCACTACTTATGTCAATATAAGTAGCACACGCCAAATACTTACACTCTTTTTATGGATATGATATAAGTTAACTCATAAATAAATGCTTAACATTATTAAGATACATCCTATACAATAAGAATGTAAAAATTAATAATGATAAAAAACATGACATTAGGTTTTAACTGTAAGGTTTTTATGAGTTAGGTAGAATTTGTCTGGCCTCAATATACACAAAGGAAAAAGCAAGATCCTCAAATACAACACGGTGAAAACCAACACTATTACACTTTATAGAGATGCTCAAAAAGATGTGGAGTCTTTCATGTACATGGGAAACATCATCCATGAACAACGAGGATCGGATGCAAGCGTCAAGGTGAGGATTGGTAAAGCAAAGACCGCATTCCTACAATTGAAGAACATATGGAACTCAAAACAACTTTCAACCAATATCAATGTCAGAATCTTCAATACGAACGTCAAGATATCCAGTATTACTGTACTGAGCTGAAATGTAGAGAACTACTACAACTCTCATCAGGAATGCACAAGTATTTATAAATAGTTGTCTACGCAAGACACTCAACATCCATTGACCGGATATCATCGGCAACAGCTTACTGTGGGAGAAAACAAACCAGCCTGCATCTGAGTAGGATATGAGGAAAAGACGATGGAGTTAGTGGATAGGACATACATTACGGAAATCATCAAACTGCATCACGAGGCAAGTCCTAACTTGGAATGCTGCAGGGAACCGGAAAAGAGGAAGGCTAAAGAACACATTACGTCGGGAAATAGAATCAGATATGAAAAGGATGAATAAGAACTGGAAACAACTGAAAAGGATTGCCCAGGACAGAGTTGCATAAAGATTGCTTTTGAGTGGCCTATGCTCCTGTACGAGGAGTGACAGACGTAAGTAAGTAAGTAATTAGAACTTGTCTAGTATTTTAAGTCATAATATATAAACCTATATATTAATAAATTAGTATTGTAAACATCATTTGTGAGTGTTATTTCCAATTCCTAACAATCTCTTTTCTTTTTTCTTCCAAACATATAAATCAGGATACAAGAATTCATTTGATCAAAAAACTATAATGTTAAGATGAATTTAGTTTATTGCTGATAACGATTACGTGACTAATGACTATCTTAAAATATGTAAATAATAAATCTTTTTACCTGGAAATTTATTAAGCATTTCATTTTCATTTAATTATTACTTAAGTCAAAATAGTATATACATGATCATTAGAAAGGTGTATGAATTCAGGAAGGTTGTGATGAATTGAATATAACAGACTGTGTTGGTCGGTATTCCATATAATCCTTAAACTTCGTATACAGTTCATCTTGATAACCGTCACTAAATAACACCCCAACGGTATATTAATCAGAAGGCTAATACGAAGTGTTAATCATGTTTATTATGGGACCATACATGCAGATATCCAAAATTGCAGGTGCGTTGAACAAGCATGAAAGAGTTGTGCCGAAAGGCAAGCACGCAACCGAGCGAGTGAGTGAGTCAGGGAATATGAGTACGAGTAAGCGAGTACAATTAAGCGAGCGAGAGCGAGAGCCATGAACATGAACAACATAGACATATATATACATAGTGAAATGAATGAATCATCGAATCAATTAAGGGGTTAGTAGTAAGACTAGCAGCGTGAATAAATACATAGGCAGTAAGCAATGCTCAAGCATACATGTTCACACATTCGCAACAATAATAAAGATACAATGAAATAGATAAGTTGTTGTTGTTGTACGGATGACTCAGTTCGTTAATAAGTTAATAAAATGAATTAACCGAATTAAATGTGATCCAACTCAATTCCACATGAGTTGCTATAAGACATTATTCAGCTTCAAAACATTTATTTACAATTGAATGTGTAATACTTGACTAAATCACAGTTTAAATCATGAAATAGCTAAACTGAGACAATCATTAATAGCTAGAATGCATTGGCTAGATATTTCACTTTAGTATAAGATCTATCACACTCATAATGCCACCATACATTTAATCTAGAACATTTTGACTACTTTTAGTGGAGTTTTGTTCACTGAGCTGGATGGTTCGGTCGTAGAGCTTTCATCCTTCTTCTGAACGACATCATCAGCACAAACTTCAGATAGAAGTGAAGTGTTCGGATTTCTCCATATGCGTCTGACTACCTTTAAACTAATGGATAATATGATTTCACTCAATCCGTGATGTTACCGTTGATTTTTTGAAGAGGTTATGAATATGTACTTTTGAGAAGTTTCATAATAGGGTAAAATAACTATTTAATACTTCTAGGTTTTAAACATTTCTTCAACTGAGGTTGACCTTTGATATAAATTATATTTTGATGAAACAATATCTACAATAATCAAAGATGTAGTACGATAAAATTTTATTGTTTCTTTTTCTTCTTTTAGATTTTATTGGGATTTAATCATGTTATTATTGTTAATTGCAAATCTTATTATTCTACCGGTGGCAATCTCTTTCTTCAATGATGATCTAAGTATACATTGGATTGTATTCAATTGTGTATCGGATACAGTATTTCTAATTGATATTGGTGTGAATTTTCGCACAGGTAAGATTATATTACTCGTTAATATTGATTCTACTTTTATATTAGGTTATTTGGTGTCATTATTAACTCACATGAAACTTAGTATTTGAATGCCAGTTCATGTAGAGTCTGTATTAAAAGACTACTGTATACATGATTTATGGCTTTCTATAAAAGTTTTTGGTTTTTTTTTAAATCGTAGTCAGTAATTATTATTGGCTAGAAAAATTTTCAGGATTATCATTTGCATATTATTATGGGTATTTTGGAAATTGTAAACTTTTTACAGTTTAAATCACTATCTTAGCTAGAACATCATTGAGAACCTGGAAGCACTAGACAGCTGTTTTGTTCCATTATAGAACACCTCAATAGTGTATTTCTTTTTATGTTGATCTATAGTTAGCGTTCATAACAATAAGCAAACTGGTATAAATTCAATCTAATAAGGTAATATTTACTATTATTTGATTGTTTCGATAAACAACCGAATAATCGAATGTTAGCTAATCTTATTAGGTTAAGTACAATAGCATTAATACTTGTCCGTTATAATCTTAAGATCATATTTATCCTCATATTACTTAATGGATAATAATGGTCAATAATTACTCACTTGACTTTACATGTCAAGATATCACTTAAAGTATTCATATTCAATCTATATGGATTTGTCTATCATCACTGATACATATTATTAAATTAGGTCAAAAATAAGCTAATTCTACTCTCGTATTTTGTTTGTTCTGTTTTTGGTTGTGTTTTTTTTTTCTGTTTCCAACATCTTTTCAACCAATATTCATTCATGAAATGAATTGCTTCTCAGTTTTAATGAGTGTTCGTTTAAATTAAGTAGATATAACGAGTATAAAAATTCTGCAGCAATTTGGAAGACTCTCCCAGTCTCCCATATTATACGAGTAATCCATGTAGCTAAATAAATGGTTGCTCTGGTTGTTAGAAGGGGCATCAACCTCGTGAATTTCGAAGAAACTCGGCTTTCACCATGAGGCATCATAACTCTTCTAAATGAAAACTTCCTGACTCCCTGGAGCAGAGTTTAAATGGTTTGAATAAATTTTTTCGAGTTAGCGTTTTTTTAGCGAGTTAGTTTTCTACACGATGTAGTCGTTAACTCCATGCCCAACCCTCCTACTTTATCTGAACTTGGGATCGGCAGTAGCTCCAGAGGGGCTCCAGGCAGAGTTAGTATAAAAATTGGTTTAATGATATAATAATAATAATAATAATTGTTGGGGTGATCCAGAAAATTGCTTGAAGAAGACAAGCAAGCATCAGGAAACACTAAGAAGCGTTTCATCCAATCAGAGTTCACTTGAAGTCTTAGCCAAAAATATCAAGGTTCTGATTGGCTGGCTGCTACACTGCTACTATGTTTACTAGCATTCCAGAATATTCTAGCAACTTAAAGACATTTAAAATATTATAAAAACCCTGTATTTTCTGTATTAAAATGAACCTTGGAGTAAACTGCTTTTCGCATACTTTGAGTCTTCTCTCTCGTGTTCAGGTCGCTGTATAGTTCTAGCATGGGGGTTACCGAATAGCTTAGGAAACGAATATAGCAATACTTATCAATAATAATAATAAAACACCATATATTCTATCCCTTTTAACTCTTTCTATATTAGAGAACTGATCAATTCAGATTATTCTTATTTAGAATACTACTTACAAATAAATAGTAATTAAAGTGATGAATGATGTTTCATAGAAAAAAAAAGTGGAAAAGAATATAACGAATGATGTGAAAGAAAAACAATATTGATCTTCCTAACCTATTGTATGATGCATTTCTATGTCAATTAATCATTATTATTATTATTATTATTATTATTATTATTACTATTATTATTATTGACGTACTGTTGTTAATGTTGTCGTTATTGACTGTCATGACGTAATTCGTTTGGTTATTTACAGTTTTAATCTCTACATCAACAATCCTACACAATTTCCTCTTCTTCTTCTTCTTCTCCTGCTTCGTCATCATCACCTTCTTCTTCTTCTTCCTCTTCTCCTTCTTCTATTTTATTTATTCTTTTCCTTCCTATTACCACTTCTTCTATTCTGATTTTGATTTTATCTTTATAATTCGCCTATTGTTTTATTATTTATATAAAAAACAATTACCTTATAATGGATAAAAATTAAAGGAAACATATTGTATTAGATAATGCTTTTGAATAGATCTAAAATTGTTTCAGACAATAACTACTATGTATATATATATATATATGCATATATTGCATTTATAGAATGTCAATCAATTATTCAACTATTGAAGAGAAATAAGTCTTGAGAAAATGTAAAACATTCGAAGCATATGCATATGCATGTATATTTATGAAGAAAGATTCTGAGAAAAGATAGAGTGATTGACATTGAAAATGATTAAGGAAGTTACTTTGTTTAATATTATGGATGATTAATTTTACTGTATTCGAGTATAATGTAATAGTGAGTAGATTTTTCTGCAGCAATTTGGAAGACTCTTTCAGTCTCCTATATTGTACGAGTATTTCATGTACCTAAATTAATAGTTACTCTAGTTGGGCATCAATCTTGTGGCCTCCGAAGGAACTCGGCTTTCACCATGAAGCATCATAACTATTCTAAATGAAGACTTCGTGACTCGCTGGGGCAGAGTTTAAATGGTTTGAATTTTCTTCGGGTTAGCGTTTTTTAGCGAGTTGGTTTTCTACGGGATGTGGTCGCTAACCCCATGCCCAATCCTCCTCCTCTATGCGCGTTTCGGATCGGCAGTAGCCCCAGAAGGGCTCCAGGCGGAGTTATCTAATATTATAAACAATGAGTAGATAATATTAGATAATTGGATGTGATGTGGAAAGGTGGTTTGTTCTGGTATTTTGTGTCAATTCGCCCTTGTTAGTAAGTAGAATCTTGACAGAACTGGTATTTATTATAGGATGAGCATTTGTATCATTCAGTATCGCGGTTACAGATGTTGGCCCTGAGTTACTCTAGCTTATGTAGAGATGTATGTAATTATGTGGTGTATGCTGCTTATGTTGACAGATATAAGTTATTGTAATATCAATCAGGTGTGGAATGCCTGGAATCAGGAGGTTGAAAAAACCAAATTGAAGAGAACATGAATACAAACAATGAGTAATTACGACAACAACGGAATTGAAAGAATCATGAAGCATGTAAAAGATGTACAAATAGTGTATTTAATGTACAGTTTTCTTATTTTACGAAGTTACTCTGTCATTTTGCTCTAAATGATAAATTGGTGACCCCGCACAAATTTTGCTCATAACGTTTGGCGTCACTGTCAAAGGAGAGGCGAGGAGGCTAAAGTACTGAAAATACAGTTGAGGGGGAGCAGTATAGGAGGTGTTAGTTGAGGCGGTTCGGTGCAGAAACTTGAGGTCGAGTGGAGTGTTCTGGTGTGCTACGTTGGCTGTAGTAATCGCTATCAAAGAAGAGAATGTGTAGTTATCTCCACCTTACTTCTTTGTTGACTAAAATAATATCGAATTGTGTCACTTATTTTAGTATATATAATTAGGCTGGAATAGATAGTGACTAAGTAGACTGGATTAATTTATTCAGTCAGTCACTCAGCCACAACGTAGGACCAGGCACACATATGCATCGGTCCAAGTTGCCATACCTCATTAACACAACAAGATGAACACCGGATTCATAAAAGTAGTTAATTCAGAGGTGGTTATATATAAAAGAAAGATTGCATATAAGGATACAGTACAGGAAGAAAGAATTGATTCGTAGAGGAAAAGATATGAAGCGATTTTAATCTGTTAGTTTAAGGGAAGACAGAGAGTGTGTGCACCGACGCCATTGTGATCGATTCTGAGCCATATCACTAAGTCTCCAACCATTAGTTACGATAGTCACATTTTGATCTTGTCAGCTATCCGCCTATCAACCTTGACTGTTTTTATGTAAGCGTATATGTGTGCAGTTCTCATCCCATTCATCACATGTCTGTAATTTATTTTTGTTCGATTATAAAAACGATTCACGCTTGATTGAATGGCGCTGGCTCACATGCCTTCTTCACTGAGCGTCGTTTCTTTTTGCTTCCTTTGTTATGCCTCTCTGATTATCTGTTCCAATCGACGACTGTACAACATATACATATTCAAAAATCTTCTCTCTTATTTCACTTATTTAATTTCGTTATTCACCAACACCTTTCAAGTCGACGATAATATACGAGAATCGGAGATATGTATATTTCGACAACAAACATTCGACGATCGACTTGGAGTCAAATTTAGGGTCACTAAAGATTTATCGAATTAAATATAACTTAAAGATTTGTCAAAATAGAGGAAAATTTTAAATAAAAAAAATTAATTTCCGCATACACTTCACCTACTTCAAGATGGATTGATATATTGGATACAAAGCTTATTATTAATCAGTAATATATACATAAGAGAAATAGTACATTTGATGGGATGATACTCTGTTCTGAAAATGTACTGACATTACAAAATGAATAAAGTAATTAACATTGGCTTAGTAGTCTAGTGGTTAAGCACTCGCGAGGCGAGATCGTGGGTGCGCACTGCTGAGGAGTCCCACAATAGGACGAAACGGCCTTCTAATTCCTCCAAGTTTTCCATAGTTGTCTAGCTACAATTGACTCATGATTTCAACTATTGAAATTACTACAATCTCCACAAAATCCTTTCTCATACTAATTAACATTTATAAAATGATTCAAAACATAAGCAACTTTTCATAATGTACACAATAACCAATGATATATATATACATATATATATGTATAATGGTAACTTATTGTCTACTTCAATGCCTTCATTGTTTTGTTATTCCATTTTACAACAACAACAAAAATTATAGGAATAATAAAGAATAATTTTGCAGATGAAATTATGCTCAATCCTAAGGAAATTGCACGACAATATTTGAAAACATGGTTTCTTCTAGATTTATTAAGCTCATTACCATTGGATTATATTTATCTTATATTACATGATAATGAAAATTTTACACAATTTGTTCACGCTGGTAAGTTTCATCAAGTTCTTCTCCTTTATGATATTGTCGTTGTTGTTGTTGTTGTTATTTACCAATTTACTAATTCGTGTGATAGATAAACATTTGTTTTTGGTTGAGTCAGATTACCTGGCCATAAGAGTTTCACCAAAATTCTCAGTCTTATTTTACTTGAATGATACTTCACGTTTGAGACCAGAGATCCTGGGTTCGAGTCTCACGTATGAAATCGTGAATGTGCACTGCTCAGGGGTCCCATATAAGGACGAAACCGCTATCCAATGCATTCATGATTTCAGTGATGGTCTTGCTTAAATCGACTCGTGAATACAATTGTGAAAATAGTACAAATCTCCATACTGATTATATTTCATTAGTTTTGAAATTCATGTTCATATACATAAAACCAGTAGACTAGATTTGAAGGAAGCCAAATATGTTGAATTCATAGTGATTGATGTGTGTTAGCAAAAAGGAATTTATAGCCTGAAAGTTGTATTGATTTTTGTGGGACCTGGTTAATCTATTTTCATAACATCAAACATGATCAATAGTCTGTTCAAGTCATAGATTGCAGATAAGCCTTTGTCATGTATATCAGTTAAAATAAAACTTATTTTCATGGATTTATGCTGCTTTTAACCAACTTACATCAAACAAACTGCATTACAATGTCATGTCATTTATCCTAATGACCCTGGTGCAACCTGGTCAATTGAATTCTTTGGGTTCTAAAGACGTGAAATCATAATAATGATTACTTCACAATTACCGATTAGTGTAATGTTGAAGTAAATTATTATATATGTCATTTTGCTTTGAATGACTTTGGAAACTTTTAAACCTCAGAATACGAAAGAGAAAAATAATATTAAAAAGTAAGGAAGGAAATGAATTCAGAGAAATTCTGATTTCATCGTTTAGAACCAATCACTACAGTGAATAAGGACAAAAGTGTTGATTCACATTATAAGTGTCATTTTATATCAAAATTATTTATTTGGTTTGACAAAGTATATCTTGGATGGTAGTAATGAATAGTTTCAAAGCTTCTGTTCATGGTTCATGATTCTGAACAGTTGATTGGAGACTGTTGCACTAGATTTCGTGTCAGTTGGAATTCGTCAACAAGGTATGGTTCAAATCTTCAATAAAGTGATGCATCACCTAGATTTTCATCTTGAGACATGATCAGTTAGCTATTAAAGTACCGACTGATATGACTGCAATTACTGGTTATCGCTCGGGAATCAATAATTCAGTTTACACTGATGTTATTTATGCATTATCCTGGCTGTAATGTCATTACCTTAAAAACAATTTGTGTTTTCTTCTTCCTAATCTCATTCCTAACTTTTTCACGTTATTTTCTTGAATATTTTTGTAAAAATTATAACTGAGCATCATGAGAACCAACATACATTCAATCATAAACTTATTAAATGACAAATTTAGTTCCATTAAAATGTTTTTTTTAATTCTGATAACTCTTATCATATTAGTCGAGATTCCATTTTTATAAAATCTTAAAGTCTCCTGAAAAAGACCCATCTGACAATAATAATGGGATGAAAACAAATCTATGGTGAGTATATTCTTATCGGCCCCAAATACTCTGGTGTGGCCGAGAGCGGGAAAACTTAGCTCTCCCTCTCGAAATGCTCTCACATGACCACGTGCATCCAACCACTGCCAGGGAAGTCTTACTCACTGCCTACTCGCGACCGGGGTGTTGTTTACGAAATTAATACGACGAAAAGTGAATGTCCAGAGCTTTAACCTACTTGATGGATAAGGAGGATCCACCTAGGTGAGTTGGAAAACCAATGGTGCACATGATCCCCAAGATCCTAAGGAAAAAAATGGCATATGACCCTATTGTCAGTCACCGGTTACCATAGGACTACATGTTCACTACCTTGTAGATCAAACTTTCAGGTAGGAGGCTTGGAGTGTGATCCCCTAAGAATACCATCTGCTTCGGTTTGCGCACTCAGGCAGTATCCCGGCCATCACATAAAAATGTTCATTTATTAAATTGTTAGCTTTAAAAAAAAGATTAACCCTATTCAGTAGTATATTTTTTATTGTTGTTTATTTCTTCAAATATAGGCCGTGCACTAAGATTTCTACGATTTGTAAAACTTTTAAGTTTAATACGACTTTTAAGATTATCTCGACTGGTTCGTTATGTTAGTGAATGGGAAGAAGTAAGCATAGTTTTTTTCTTTCTTTCAGTATAACATCATCATTATTGTATTATTTATTTATATATTCATTGTATATATTACATATACTTTATTGTTTTATATAATGTAATCAAACGCATTGAATTATGTAACAATGAGTTATAATGATAATATGGCTTCATTGATAATAGCCCTATGAATAGCCCTATTCTGAATAAAATTGAGCAGAATAAAATAACACACTTTAGTTTTCCCATTTTGATTGTGTTTAAATCATTCGTGTCTATCACAATGTCTTATTTCTATAAAACAAACGAAATAGAATAATTTCATACCTGAAAAACAATGAAAATGTATTAAAATGAAGTAACATCATATTTTATGTATATAGATTTGAAAGAAAAATCTGGAAAACCGTTAGCTATAATTTATTTGTACTGGTTATTTGAATCTATCCATTGATAGTTAGGAATGTAATTGATCCGTCTCTTATTAACATATGTGGTTGTTGTACGGACGGCCTCGATATTGCATTACATTACAAGCATTATTAGCAGAGATGGATAGTGGCTAAGAGTGGAATACATGAGGTGCGTTACTAATCACTCTATTCTGACATATAACTTGATAATTCTATCTCTTTCCTCTGATAAAGTGTAACAAGGTATACCTGTTTGCATATGTATCATATATTGTTTATTTTATTAAAGCATTCTTGCATTAGTTATATGAATCCTCACATCGATTGATAGGACTGCAATTGATCCGTCTCTTATTAACATATGTGTATCCCGTGAGGATTGCTTCGACATTACTTCGCATCACAAGTATTATTAGCAGAAATGGATGGTGGGTAGGAGCGAAATCGATGAAGCGTGTTTCATCCTATTTGGAATTATTCAGCTGAATGTGCCTATATCCTGGAATTGATGTCCACTCCTGAACTTGAACCTAATACTGTTCTCTTCAAACGCCATCTCATTATCCAATTATTTGTTGTTTTCAGATAGCTACTAGCTTGTCCCGAGTTAGACAAAACGTGTATTGTGGATTCCACTCCTAGCCATTATGCATCACTGCTTATCATCGACTATCCTGTTCAAAGACTTTAAGCTAGAAAACGTAATTATTCAGATTATCTTTCTAATTTGAAGAAACTTTATAGATCTGGATACTTGCTTTATTTGCTTATCGCTGCAATTTAATCATATACTTCAACCAAAAATTGATTTATGGTTTCGTATTATTCCCAGTTACCTTGACATCTATATCACGAAATCTTACAAGTAAGTAAGGATATTTGGTGAGACTATAATTTATGGACGACTTTTGAGCGACTCTAGACTGACCTTGAGATTGTCCATCTGATAACTAGGACCAAATGAAGGTTATAAACCAGTGTGAGATATTAGAATTATGGTTTACAATTGATAGTTAAGTTTAGGAACTAGATTTAGGGTTTTCATCACTAACTGACATCAGCTATAATGCCAAGATGAAGTTCATTTAGTAAATGAGATCAAACTTGGAAATACATATTACTGATAATCTGCTACATATTAATAACCAAAGGAACATTAAGAAATAAAAGCTGATATTTAAAGGATAACTAAATATCATTAGGAATATCATACTTAAGTGGTTTTTATACTGTTTTGTTATAAATAACCATCATTATTTGTTAAACATGAGTTATGAAAAACTTTGTAAGTTTGGGGGACATTGTTGAAATTTCATAGTTAACAGTACAGACTGATCTTAGTCAGATAATCATTGGAAACTAGAAAAAAATTAGGTTGTTTCATCGTTGAATGGAAATCCTCATCAGATTACATCCACGACTGCACCACGGGTGTAACCTAGGAAATTTAGTAATGGATTAACAATGTTGAAGAGTCTCATACTAGAATGAAACGGCTGTCCAGTGTTTACTGGTTTCCTCTGGTTGTACAACTAAGATCAAATAGTAATATAAACTATGAAAACCAAATTTATGCTTGATTAAAATTTCACTTTCCTTGTTGCATATATTATATTAATGGATTGGGGCTAGCCGCAGAATTCAAGAATCATGTTTCATGTTACTTAAGATTCATCAAAGGCATATTCCGCATCCCATCGGTAATGTTCGGATTCGAACTCGATTTCAATACCTTTCACTTTAAACCTCAACATGTCATCCATTCACCTACTTAATCCATAAACTCACCAACTTGTTTAAACACTAATCTGAATACTAGGATGAAAAGATTAGACCAGTTCCCAACTGGATGAATTACTGATCCTATATCCTACTGTTATCTATTAAGATATCAGTCAGATATCAGTGTAAACACTGAAACAATTGCTTACAAAGAATAAAGTTTATATCACTGAATAGAATTGGCTGTAAAGCTTTTGAAAATCAAAAGATATTTGTTGGCTATTTCTTACCAGTTTTCAATAATCGAAACAGTACACACATCTCTTATCACACAAGAACAAGCACTATAGAACTGTACTATTGATTTACATTTCGAAATGGAGTATTTTTTGCAGTTCACTGAGACTATCTCTCATTGCGGTCAGTGAGTAATCTCTCTCGATTAACCTGAGTGTACACCATCATTTTGAATTCTTCCCGATAAATTCAAGAATGTATCTGTAAACTTATTACTATTCAACTAAGGAATATTATTCTATTAAACGATTTCTTATAATAATAACATATTCTGGAAATAATAATTACAGAATGAGATTGTTTCACTAATGGAAATCGGATGCTGTAGCTAGGAGGTTCTGAACATTGAATTACTTCAGTGATTGCAAAAGTTAGTTTATTGAGTATTTTGAAGAAAAATATCAAATTTAGTTTGAGTCTCCTCTTCCATAAAGAGTCCAGTTCAAGTTTATTGCATCTGGATTTATAATGTTAGGTACAATTAGTCCCTGGAATGTGATGCGCAAATCGTCTCCGAACGGATTCCAACCTAAATTTATCCTTTATACTAACACTACTTAGAATAAACATACAGTATTTTAGGAGTGGTGGAACAAATACTTTATTCATTCAAATATGTAACTCACTGTCATAGAGGTTACAAATTATGCAGCCCAGATGAGGTTGAAACTTGGAGGTCTGTTTCAAGACCTGTTCTGAGGAGGACAAACTGTAAGAATACATGTGTCCTAAGTCCATTACTGTATGTTACTTGGAAAACAACTTGATATTTGTGGTAAACTCTTGGTTGAGTGAATTATTACCAAAGCATATCCATCAACATTTAGCCATGTTAACCTCCAACTGCCATTTTGAGCACCACCGGAATACTTTGTTGAGTTTTATAATGGTGCGATTTCGTATACTGTTCAGCTAATAAGGAGCAAATAAGTACACTACTTTGAGATCATCTTGATGTAGCAGAATGGCTTACCTATACAAACGGAATCACAAATGTCATCTAAATAGACTAAAAAGAACAATGGGCCCAAGATACTACCTTGTATTACACCACTTTTACCAGGACAGCAACCAACAAATAGGGGTTAATTTTAACTATTTGGCGTTGGTGGCTTAGGGAAGAGTTGAACCAGGCAAGCATAGGGATTTTGACCACGTAATATGTTATTTTGCCCATAGGAAGCTAGTTGTTAACTATGTCATGTGTCTTAGAAATGCCAAAGTACAGCACTAACGCTAAATATCCTCGGTTACATTGTGTAAAGACTAAACCACAGAAGTCAAAATGTCAGGTCATACAAGATTGAATTAAGAAAAGCCATGTTAAGAATCACTGATAAGTTTTTCAGTGAGTAGAAAGTTGGGGAGTTCGTCACCAGCACTTTTTTTCACAATCCTAAAGAAAGCTGAAATAATATTTATCCGCCAATTATTGTTCTTGTCATTCCTAACTCCATATTTGATACGTGATACAGTGAATGTAGTTTTCCAGCAGTAAAAGTAAGTACCTGTATCCATAGCGAGAAAATAAAACATTTTAGGAGCAGAAGTGGAATATCAGCTTCAACATGTTTGTAGAGAAAGAATAAAATCCTCTCCAAAGATTATTGTCATCTGAATGTAATTTCATCACGAACTAATACTTTTAATTAATTCATACTCTCAAACCTGATTTGTAATGTATTAAATTTGATACAAATCATATGAACTTTACAAGAAAATTATAAAAAAAAAACAAATTAGTAACTATGGCAACAAAGAGGAACTAATAATAAATGATATATTTACAGTTGATTAGTCACTTGGACGTAACCAATGTCATGTATGTCACGTCTTTAATACAAATCACATACCATCGATCAAGTTGCAATGTAGCAACTAGTCTAGGTGAATCCTAAATCTAGCTTTCTTGTTAATCGGACATTCATTAGATTACAGGTATATCTTTCTGATAAGTAATAGATAGAACAATATCTAAGTTCAAGTTATCCTATCAACTATCATCGACTACCACTTTATAAAACAGATACACTTGAAAAAAAATAACAAAAATAATAATAATAACTCTTCAAGCGTAACAAATTATTCTAAGTACATTTTCATGTAAAAACCAACAACAAGAAAAGAAAGAAGAATAAAGAAAGTGATTTTTTTTCGTTTGAGCAATAGTTTTAAGTTTCACGCATTCTCCCTCCCCCTTCCCTCTCTCTCATTCTCCCTCCCTCCCTCCCTCTCTATCTCTCTCTGTTCTCTTAATTTATACATTTCCATGTTATGCTCTAATAAACACATGTTTATATAATAAAGTAATTAATAATAGTTGTAATGGAAAGTAGCAATACATTTAACTCTTGTATTATTATTATTACCATTACCATTATTAGTATTATTATTATAAGAGAATATAAATGATTGAGAGAATAACGTTAAGTTATTATTGTTGTTAAGTGTCAGTTTTCTTAAGAATTTATGACAAATCTTCATTTCATGTAAACAAACTTGATTATTTTATTGTTTTGTAATTGTTTACCTTTATGGATTATCACGGAAGGTTGTTGTTTTTTTTTTAATAATTTTTCAA